GATTATTCCACAAAATAGCAACAGTCGAAGTGTCATCCTGAAAGCAGTTGTGGCTTCGATGCACTGTAGACATTCTCATTGATCGTATCATGAAGCAAATGCGCAATGAAGTCATTACCCCCCACTTACGTGCTCCGGCCTTGTTGCTTTTGAAAAAAACAACTAGAAAAGTCAAGAATACGGCAAGAAATAGGTAGTACTTGGATTGAAAAATGCGAGAACTTTGCCATGAATGCACAAAATAACGAATTGGCTGTGTGAAGTTTTATTTGATTCGAAATGACATTCAGTTTGACCATATTCTTGTTATGATGCATAATGAAGCAATTTCTTCAAACGCACGATTGAATCGTTGAAATTATGAATTTCGTTATCACCAATAATGAATTCAGTCAAAATTTTCAGCGATATCTTTCAGCGAAAATTTTACGAGTATTAAAACGTCTTCTCAACAAGCAGAGCACACTATCTAGTCATAGTCATCACCTAGTAACGTCATCATTTTAATCAGCATCCTGCATATAAACGTTCAAATTATCGTCATGTGGCAGCAGCTCTTATTTTCATGAAAGAGATCAATTTATCTGTTGCTTGATGCTATTTTCTCCGCGATGCTGCTGCTGACATATAAAATGACTCGTTTCCGTTCCTCTCGAATGTTGGACTGGATTCCTACAAGGCAAAATGTTACAAGATATATTTAGCAAAGTTACATCAAAACTTTCCCTTGTTCAAACGGATGATGCAGCATACATTAGAATACTGTGGAATGAGAATGTGTTGAATAATGGAGCGAATGTATTATTTGCTAAACACATCGTTGACGTCAAAATGAAAATGACACATCAAAATGTAGAATGCGAAGTCGAGTGCTGATCTGTGATCGAATTTTTTCGATTAACTATCACATAATGAAAGTTATTGATGATCCAATTTGAAGTCGTTAAAGTAATCATCTGAGTCAGTGTAACTTTAAGTCGGTTATGAAATGATCAAGTTAGTAAATGTGTTTTGAATCACACAGTAAGACTGTTGAGCGCATCCCTTCAAGTCATATCCTTGGTACTTTTATCATAAATATTACATCGAAGAAATGACAATGCCTTTGAGTGGTTCTCGAGTGTGATTGCTTTCACGCTTGAACCCCTGTGAACGTCAACGAACAAAGTTTTCAGTAAAACAAATTCACTAAAACATCTTTATTTTGGATAGTACTTTTAACTTCAATAAATTATAAATTTCAGTTAACTTCTCTTAACTTCAACTTCAGCAAATTCAGGAAATCAATCGATCGGAACAATACATCCTTATTTTAGACAATATCAGTCGGCCATATTTGACTGTTCAATGCTTCAGAAATCTGTTCTGTGCGATGACGCAAAAACGGCACAGACTGTCTAATTAACTGATAACATGAGTAGATCAAAAAGCATGTTTTTGCTATTCCTATGGTAATGCATCGATGTTCAACATGGAGATCAAATCTCAAGAGTCTGAGTGTGCCATAAAGTCGCTCAGATACATAAGGAGCCCTTAGAAATTCAGCTATTATACCTGTACAATTAATGTCGTCATGCGTCGACGACATATACATTTTCGTGATAGTACGTTTCTGGTAGTGCAACATAAATTTTTCTGATAACTATATGTGTCCAATAAAATCCATCCGACAATCTTATGGACTCATAAACTCAGCTGTAGCTCTATAACCAAATCTCCATTAAATTCTCCATTAATTCTCCATTCTCCATTTTTAGCACACCATTATCATTCTTCATCATTAAAGGGGTATCATATCGATGGCACCATATTGGAAGCATCTTCGACATTAAGCACGATCAGTTTGAAATGATCAAATGATCACGACTGTTGCTATAGTTGAAACATGCAGTTTCGATTTTTTGGTGACATTAGTGGCACATGCAAATCACGTTGAAATTGTTTGATAATAAATGTTCTGCGGCGTCAAAAGCTAGCACATTCGTTCTAAAACTATGCTGAGTGATCCCATTTGATGCCAGTGAGCACGGTATCTGCATTCGCTTTTTCGGTTTTCGTTATCTGCATGTGGTAATTCCAATGTCAACATTTTTTGGGGGTGTTTATGCGTTTAAATGGTCAACTTTTTTGGCTTTGTGTGAACTGAAGTGTTTGTATTAAATATGTATTAAAATGCTTGTTGATAGTCAAAAGGTCACGTAGAATCATATGTGATAAGCTGTACGATGAATATATACGTCTGATAAGAGAACTTTGATAACCGTTGTCAGATCATATTTTCAGCTGAGTGCCATCAAAAAGTAACGATGAAGAAAACGTACAAAATGAGAACAAAACGACGAATAAAAACGACACAATGTTTACAATTGCCATTTTGAATCGAACTTTATCAAATAATTCAGTGGAAAATTAATGATTTGAGATGGAATGAGTTGAAAGTCGAAATTAATTGATATTATAAGATTTAAAAAAATTAAAAACGATGTTTTTTTGAATATTTATGCTATGGACGAAGAACTCTACACCTCCACGTACCATTTGCAGAACACACAGTCCAAGTTTTGTTTACGGCTTTCAAATGACCATTGGAATGAATTATTTTCATTTTGTTGCATGTTTTTTGAATTCAACAGAAAAATCACCATTGCCATTCCTGCTGAGGGAGATTCATTGCATTTTAGTTCAGAGTTAAGTTGGAACGTTAGTCGAGGACGACGTTCGATGAGTATAGTCATCATTCATTCATACGAAATTCGAATGTAGTTGAACTGTTAGAGATCATAGAGGTCGACAGTTCATCAGTGCATTGTATTACTGTGCATTTTTATTTCAGTTCGGAAAGAGTGCAGTACGGAGTAATTTATTCACAAAATCTGGCACATAAGTACAGCCAAGGATTGATATAAGATAGTGATGAATATATGAGATCACTGGTTTCCAAACGGAATAATGAATGATTATATGGATGGATAATAGTGATGCTTACGACAATCACGACAATTATAGACAATAACAGTGATTATATGAATGATCACATTCTATAAGACAATAATTATGATAACAGTAAGCGAGCAACGGATAATTTGTAACGAATGGATAGTCTGTAGGGATAAATGACGAGCTAATGATAATATAATATAATATAATATAATATAAGATGCTGATATAGTTTTGACAACGATGAATATAATGCTGATAATAAGGTCAATAGCAATAACAATAATAACGAGATAATGAGAATATTATAAGGCTCATAGTCATTAGATAAACAAATAACAATTTCACGTTAAACTTATGCTTGCAAATACTTGGAAACTCGAGGCGAAGTGATGCAAACGCAATCAAATCAGCATGAAAATATCGTGCAAACATCAGATTAATCGTTCAATAAATTAGTAATTTAACGCAATGATGCTTATTGTTAAGAAGAGATTCGTAAGACGAGTGATTATGAGCTTGATCATAATGGCTATAGTACATGGATAAATGAAATGAAAGGCGAAAGATCATCATTTCATAATGAAAGTGTTTGTATATTACCGGTTGACTTATAAAGATTCAAGAGATTTCATTGAATCAACTGTCCATTACGATTTCAATTTGATGTAATTACACTTGCCACCGAAACTGTGCTTTCCAATCAAGATGCACAACGACGGGTTTTTCAGTTTCCCTTTCTTTTTTCGAATACTTAAGAAACTTAACGGAGTTCCTTAAGACAAATTCTGCAGATCCGTAGAATTCATCGGAACACTCAAACAAATTTGTGAAATGTGACAAGAGAAGAACGTTTTGTTATTTATTGACTCTGAATGTGTTTTGATCTGCTAAAGATTTCATTCACTTTGCTGAGTTTTGTAAAAAGCAGCACGAACATAGGTGAAGCTTTCGCTATAATTCTCATCTTATTTCAACAATGGATACTCGTGAATAAACTGAATACTGGCGCGGAAAAAAAAACAGAAATAAAAATAGATCAACAAGTAACTGGATTGAAGAAACACCGTGTTTTCATCCTTCTTGAGGCATGCTTCTTGGCACCTTCTGCAACATTCCGTGTCTCCCTTGCGATCAACTTCATTCTCTTTGCCTTCGAACGAACAGCCAATTGATTTCGTCGTTCCAGCAACTGCAGCAACATCTCGTCAAGTTCTCTTGATTCTCTTTCTTTTGAATCCATTTCTGCGTGAATCTCATTCTTGTTTTCAGCAGGATCAGCTAGTGGTGTAGCGAATCTATTTCGATTCAGATTCCCATCTTCCACTTCGGAGGCATCGAATAGCTCCTGAAGTTATCAATGGATAAGCATCTCAATTAGCAGAGAATAGTGCATGTTAACTCATTACAAATCGCTAGTTCTAACACTGAACTGTTGCAGAGGGAATCAAACTTCCGTAAACAAACTGCAAATTGAATTTAGATTGATTCACAAGTCGAGATCAGAAAAAATCTTGAATTGCACGCATAGCACAATTCAGGTGTTCAGAATCGTAGTTCTTCACAAATCATGGAAAGCTTCCCCAACCTCAGTTGCTTGATCTTCCTCGCTCGAGCGATCTTCTCGAAGTGGGTGCCCGTTTGTGACAGTAATAAGCAGCAATAACAGTAACACATCATTAAGAACGGCTACTCGAGTAAACGACATTTTCAATGACTTCCTCTGGAATGAATTCTGAATGTGGGCACTGGAAAATAAACGTACGCGTTGTTATTGTCAATAGCGAGTCTAGTTGATAGCAGCAATAACAAGTCGAAATCCTTATCGTACGAGTCACTCACTTGAACTGAAGTGAACCAATACAATGAGCTTCGCCTTACAGATTCATTTCATTTATAGACAAATCAAGTAGGCGGCTTCGCATTTCACTACAACTACGCAACGAATTGCGACAGGTCATTAATTTGATACCCCTTAAATGAAATTTTTTTTGCGCTTGTTTCATCACATTCATCATAATATTATTGTTATCAGTGGTGCAATTGCGGTCAGTGATTATTGACTATTAATGTTAGCTGTTTCAGTTGAAAAAGAGATGGAACGAGATTAATTTTTGTGAATTTAATCTCGCCTTCTTTTCATCTCTTTTTGTTATCGCATTTCTTCTTCATAGCATTCAAGCATTTTCAATCTCTACTAGATTTTTGAGTGTGTAATTACATTTAAAAAAAAGTAAGGTAATTTGATATCAGCCACAGAGCACTTGTGTATGTAGCTAAAACATTCACAGATATTAAATGCAATTAATGTGAAGCGCTGAGAACGTTGCATCTGCAATTGAATTTTATCTATTTTAATGCGTTGAAAAAAAAGTGTGCCCTTGTAATGCACGTGAATGAGGTTGAGATCTGATTCAGCTAAGAGCTCGAAAAACTCGCATTGATCAATTACGATCAGCTTGCTTGTTCGCTCATTTTTGATACCAGACACCAAGTGAGTCACAAACTAGAGAACAGGTGAACACTTCCGGAACACACACGTTTTAATGGGATTGCTGAAGTGAGTGGACAACGAGAACACATTCCATAGTAGATTACATTGTTTGCATTCCAGGAAAACACGACGATGAGTATGTGTGATTCATGTGAAAAGAATTTGAAAAGAACTAAAATCTTACGGCAAAATGAAAACCAAAGTGGAGGAGTACATTATATTATGATTATTTCTGTAGTTGACAGGTGAAAGGCACACGCAAAATCGTAGTTGAAACAATGATAAATCACAGTTTAAGTGGACTTTGTGACTGAAATTTGACTGTTTGTGACTGTACCGTGGAATTATCGCGGAATGGAATTCGTAAGTGAACCGGTTATCAGCTAAAATTCGGAATGCGCTACTCACGAAGGCGATAAGGTTATGATAAATGTCATACTTGGAATAAAATCACAAATTCCTTGCTCCCAGTCCACTAGTCACGAAATTTTTTCGCATCACAATTTTGGCTTCAGCAATGTTTTTTCGGTATTGACGAATGACATTTCGTTTATCTATCGTTCGCCTACTTACCGTTGTCGTCATAAGCGAATGATTCACTTATGAAGAACGGTGGTGGAATTGCGTCAAAAAGTAAACAATAGAGATAGCAAATAATGCATTTCTAATTCATTGTGAATATTTATTACAACTTTTTATCGAATCACTAAAAGTAATCATGTTTATTCAGTGACCTCGCTTTTTCGCGATGATAAATGAGTAGATATGAATCGCAGCTATGAATCAGACCTCTTTCTAAATGTAGCAAAGAAAGTTTCGCAGTGAGACCCTCAATGTCCCTAAAAATCATTGTTAGACGTATTTTTCAGTGCAATTTTTTTCAGCGAACAAGAGCCATGCTATTCATCCAACAAAAGTCAAAGATCCTGCTTCTGTAGTTTGTTGTGCAGAATTTATTATTCGTATTGGAAAGGGCCGAGTGTGAGGCAAACTAAAGAAATTCGAAAACGTTGATTGCTTTATCACGATTTCGGCGGAGCTGCTTTGTGGTTTGCGGTTTTTTGCCTCACACTCGAAAGGGCCGAGTGTGAAGCAAAAAAACACGCCAAAATGTTCTTCGTTCATCACGAATCATACGGCTGGCGGCTGAAGTTATTGAATTGAAGAAATATGCTCTGCACTGTTTTAACAGATCAAATAATCAATTGACCAGTTGACCAAATGCACGAAATATTTTCGGATTTTACCAGCAGAATTCCAACAACATCAAAAGTCATCGAGAGTTTCGACCAGTGTAATTGGCTGGAAAGCTTTTTCCTTTTGTAATTTGCAACTTTGTTGTAGGAAAACTTATAAATTGACCATATTATCAGTGACCTCTAGATTTCAGAGCGATTCTGACGCCGGACTGTGTCATTCTATAGGTTAGTTGATCATGTATTTGAAATCATTCCGTTCTATTTGCATTCGAGGAGAGATGAAATGCTTAAACATTGAATTTGAGCGTATTGCTGAATCACAATTGCTGATAAATGATCGAAAACAAGACTTATCTATTGGACTTCATTACTCGTTATCACTCAGTTTGACAGATGACTTTCAAAGTTGGCAAGAAAAATCCATCTGTTTATAATATTTCTGTAGGTTGTTTACTAGGAAATTTTCTGCACGAAACAAGTGAAGAATGATCAAAACGAGCAACCACTGATATCGCAAAGAATTTTGTTGATGTTGAAGAAAAATTCTTATCGAATATTAATTCTGCATTGACAAAAGTTTTAGTAGGTCTTAGGTCTTTTCCCGAACATTTGATAATATTTCAGATCTTGAAATTCTTTCGCTAGTATTGGGAGCAGTTCAGTCAACTTGGAGAAGTGAAAATGACTACAACTGAAGGAAATAATTCGATAAATTAATAATTCAGCTCCACATGTTGTTGTTTGATTGAACAATAGAGTTCTTGTTAAATTGCTAAACCGCTTTCGAAAACAGAATGCGACTATATTTAGAAGTTCTCATTAGAAACAGAGAAATATCTGGCAGGTGTTCGATGATAAATGCGTAAGCAATTAAGTCTTCTGAGTGCGTTGCGCACTAAAATTGCTGCGATGAATTTGATATCTTTGCGAATTAAATTTGATAAATTTGATATTTGTTATCAAATTTAGTGCGCAATACACTAAATTTGACGACATCCTAAAATCCTTGCTCACACTCTGCTAGTGGTTAACACAACAAACAACTCACTGCTGCAAAAAATTCTTGCTTTCTTTTCAGAAACTCGATATTTTCGAAGTTTATTACATTGAAGCATTGAAAATGTTTGAAATGTTCCGTGAAAAGTGAAAAAGTAACAAACCTATCTGCTAGCTATGCATGGCAAGCAATTATATATTGCTCGTGCTTCCCGAGCGTCTGGTGGGATCAGCTGTGGTTCCGAGTGTAATGAAAAGCGTTCTCAGTGGAATTTTTGAGGAACCGAAAATTTTTTGAGGAAAACAAGCAGGTGGGCAATGCTCGATGTCAACGAATGCCGTACTTCTAAAGTATGCACATNAACGATGAAGAAACCATTCTGCACAAATGTTTTTCTTGAATTCACTCTACCGATTGCATGTTTGATTCTTTTTTTTTTGCAGCGAATTTTCTCTGAGTTGTTATGTGGCTTCGTTGTTTTGACTGTCACGCCATCAAACCAATGACTGAGACTGAGATTCAAGCAATTAAATGGTTCGATCAGCTCAACAATATCTTTGGTCACGTTGCAACTATGATGTCAACGATAACGACCTATATTTTTAGTGAACTCTCAGTATGATCGTAACTGCTGATTAAAAAAAAGTGCTAATTTACTTTCACCTCATCGCATGTTGACTGCAATTTGCTTTCACCTCTAATTTACTTTCACCTCACGTTCCATTGATACAGTTTTTTCGCTGGGTGTAAATACTTAATGTTGTCTGCATGTCAACACACCCAAAGAAATGCAAACATGTGGAATTTAGCACGTTGAATTTACGATGTTTGCAGACCAATAAACGATTCCGTACCGGAAACGTGTGTTGGATCATTTGAGTGGATTGATACGTCAGTCAATGTTCACTTTCAAAATGCTACATTGTAAACATGCAAATGCGTGATTGCTTATGACACTCCTATGAAGACCGTTAACTTGCGCATGATAATATTATCAATATGTCCGGAATATTGTCATACTGTTGACGAGATTCCGATCATATCGACGAGACCTTGTCATATTTGATCACTACACCTAATGTTCGAAATTGAGATAGGCCTTCAAAGGGTGAACCGCCGCTTTTCCAGCGCCCACACACTGCAGACTTTGTACCGTTCATAATAAGCCATTAAGTGAAGATCATGCTGAATTTTTACAGTCTTTCTATGGATTCTGAACAAATTTTATGAAGACTCGAATTTGTGGCTGGAAATTTGAGTTTGCTGGAAACAGCAAAAAAATTCGATATCTTGAAATCACTGAATGTGTGAAATGTCAATTGATTGTTGATCATCTGTTACATAAAAGATATTGAAGAGGGAGGCGTACGTTTATTTAAGAATTACCGTTCAAAATTGTCTGATAGTAAGGTGTATACCGTAACTATTTTGCGTGATACTTCAAAACACCTCCCGCGCCAATGACGTTTGCAATACTATCAAATAATTGTCACATTTGGGCCTCTTTATTGCTCACACTTCCTGATGTTTTTACAATGAAGGCGATTATCGAGGAAGGGAATGTTAATGTAAGCATGGCTCACGATTCATGAAAGACGGTTCAATTCAAATCTTTAACGATTTGTATCCAAGAATTTGGGTTCAGCGAGAAAAATGTACATGATTTTAGCCACTGTGCTTTGTGGGGTTTCCTAGAGAGCGGTCTGATTGATAGTCGTATCGCTCTGGTCATTAGTATCATCATTTTTTATTATCGCATCGTTCTCAACGTTATCCTCACAGGTGTCAGGATTATTTCCCTTCGTACTGCTCATCAGTCATCAATCAAAAATGCGTCTGAATGATTCCGAAGATTTTTTTTGNCACAAAAAACAGCTTAAGTTCTTTCTGCACTTTATTCGAATAGTTTATAGCATTTGCTATGTCGGTGGAAGGACTGATGTGGAAAATTCAGAAAAAAAAAAGAAATGAAGAATGATAGGTTTGGTGATGTCTTGATCAGTACGACAACAGATTTATCAACTTGAGCAGACAGTCCATTTAATTGCGAGTATTTCTAACTTACAATCAATTGAATCATTTTCTTTAAACTTCTCGAAATTTGATATTAAAATAGAATTTTTCTTCGGAACAACGGCTAATTTATGAAACTGTATGAAGTTTTGATTTACGAAATTTTTCCATATCGACTTATTTCATTCACAATCGGCTTGTCAAAATGATTAGTGAACAATATATTGAGCACAATACCGCAACCAGTTTTGCCAATAACGTAATTTCTCGATGTAATCATGACGAGAAGGTCGTGAACTTGCTGTCGATAAAACCCCTCTCACTAGATTCATTTTACGTGAACCAGTCAAGAGATTTGAGTTCAAAAACTGGTTTTGTGAACCTGTTAGGTTGCACGCGATCAAGATTTAACTCGCTTTCGACTAAACTATCAAACTGCAACGGTAAATCGCGATGACATGTGTCCATCTCCTCCAAGTTGAACGACGCTACGAGCCGATGAAAGCAATCACATCAAATCAGCAAAACTCACTCAATTCTCTCNTCCGTGTTTGTATCATATTTTTCCTCTCTGTTAGTTAGCATAGAATACTGAATAAAACAAAACCAGGAACCTCGTGAAATTTCAACGATCTGGTAGCGAACCGTGCGAATATCAAAAAGGAATTTCCTCATTAAGTTCTCCGAAAGATAAATTGGTAAAATTTTCTAAACGCCAGCATAGCGCATTCGAAGCATAACAACAATTTATTTGCATTTATCTAATCAAATTGTTCCGTACCGTGCTAATCATTGTAAAAACATTAACATTTCAATCGACGACGCTCACGAGCGATTACAGCTGGGAGTGATCACACTTCAACGTGCTTATGAAAAAGTATTTCAACGAAATGTTAAAAGCAATCGTTCCGACAAAGTTTTGAAATTTAGTGTTATCAAGAGGAATTCGCGTGTACAGCACACAGTTATCGGTACTGACGTGCACAATTTGATCACATGAATTAAATGTGTGATTGGTGTTGAGTTGCAAGTGTTGTGCAATTATGGAAGTAAAAACAAAAACATCATTCAAGCAATAATACCCTAATAACAACGTCACATTTTTCTTCGTCTTCCACCACACCAAGGTTGTTTATTCATTCACACATTCGTTTTGAAGGAGTAAAAACTTTTATAAATTTTCTGATAACGTCCGATGATTTTAATCTGAACAGTGCTGATATCGGTGCTAAGATCTTGGCAATCTGTTGTTGAAATTCAGAGCAGTGTTTGATAACGCAAATTGATGCAGCAGGCAAACAAAATTAGACAATTTTGACAGTAGATGACACGAATTTTCTCGATTACTCGCCAAAATTGATTCAATTATTCCCTGAAATATTTAAATTTTGTTCAATACCTGAAATATAATTACTTGATCACCTGTTAGTTCATTTCGTAGCAATGGCAACATTGATTCAAACATTTTATATTATCATTAGTTTCTAAAATATCATCATTCTGCACATTTGCTGCAACCGTAAAAGTGAATTGGTGAAAGGTCATCATCTGGCGTTAGGTGAATGACCCTAAAACTTCGGTTTGAACAATCGATGAACATTAAACAGTCCAACGAAAACTACCAGATTTTCACGTGAAAGCTTACAATTGCATTCAACAAGTGACCGGATTGAAGAAACATTTCACTCGAAGCTTCAATAAATTTTTCGATTTAATTCGCTCAATTTCACGGTTATACCGATCCAGCTTTTCGACTTGAAGCATATGAGCTAATTTCTCGGCACCTTCATTAAGCGGCTTTTGACCACTGCTCAATTTGACGTTCAACGATTTATCTTGCTGAAAAAAAAAACAAAGTCTCTTAAAAGTCGTTGATCTATCAATGTCATCATTGAATCGTTTTCACGCACTTCGAATTGCATACGCCGCAATGATAACAAACTAAAAGCGAAACAGTTGAAATAGCCTTTACAGGGAAGCTTTTTGCACTTATGGAATAGTTTTACGGGTGTGCGAAACTACGAGTGAAAAGCGGATTGAGCATAAAATTCATTCGTGCTCATATTCTCAGTGTTATCTGATGATCGACATTTGACATTTCATTCAGATCATTCAGGGTTGTGTATTTCGGAGCAAAATCACGGCCGAGATTAGAAGAGAGATGCGTTCTAGGAAGTTACTCGCTCCAAATTAACACTCCATTTCAAGTGTTATGTGAACATTCCGCTTAAAATATTTCAATTCAACAATATTCACATCACCTGAATCCTACCTGCTCTGCACTATGGTCGTCATTCCTCTTACGATAATGGGCGATTTGTTCGATGATCTCCTCAATAACCGGATCTTCGAAGAATTTTTCATTTGCCGTGTAGTGATCATCTTCACCGTTCACCAAATAGTCTTGTTGCAATAGAGCCGGTAAACAGAATAGTAGAGAGAGCGATATACTCAGCGCTGTTGTAAGTGAAATGAAATGAAACATAACTGCTCAAGCTGACTTGTGAGAAGACAGCCAACAGCTGGAAGCCACTGATATATAGTGCTGGCTGAGGCCGGATGGAAGGAATTCAAATCAGTATGGAATGTGATTGTACAGGGTGGATGAGCTGATAAGTGGCTAGGATTAGAACTGACTATTAGTTCTGTGAATGCATTCGCAGAAGATGGCTGAAATATGTGATGAGAGTGATGAATGAATACGGCAATCTTTATACGATGTATCACAAACGAACGCGGAGGAGTGTTTGAAATGAAGTTTCATACGATAACGATCAAGTGAGCAGACGAAATGTGGTCAAAACATGTTAAGCACCCATCTTGATTTCACAAATTAAGTAAATAATAACAGAACAGAACGCTGATAAGATGTGATTGATCAATCTGATTACGAATAATCAGTTTGGTATTTGAATGATTGCGACATTATCACATAAATTATCAAACAAAACATAAAACACATATCCCATATCACCATACACAAATGTTCACATCTGATAGTGAGTGATAAGGGAGGTGATCAAATGAACATGATAGACTTCCTATGAGGTCATTTTATGAGGCTACGGCCGAACTGTGATCGATCTTGGCTAGCTGAATGCTCAAACTCCACGGCGAATTTTTTTGATTATGTTATGTGGCGAAAATACTGAACCAATCAGTCCTGTTCCTCATTTGCATATTTTGATCGAATTTCTGTTTTCCTGGATACTTCATCGATTCGTTATTCTTGTCAAGGTGCAGAAGAGTATTTCCGTCGTTTCATCAATGATCACGTAGAATTCATTCCGTTATATTTATGTGCCTAATTCCTGAGTGAAAAAAAAANAAAAAAAAACAAAAGATAATTGTTCATATGACCATATCATTAGAGGGTAGATTGAGCGATTTTTTGAAAGCGCAAATTTTTTGAGCAGATATTAGCAGAAGCATCATATGTAACACCAAATGAATGGCGAAACGTGTGGATGAATATTCAAGGTCTGACAGATAAAGATGTGAATTATGGGCGTCCTCGATCCCGAAAGACTTTGAATTTGTAGCAGAATTTTAGAAAGTATAAATTTCAGTGCAAAGGAAATTTGGTTGATCTCTGAAGAGACACTGCACATTTATGCGACTGTCGCAAAGAATGTGCGACTTGTTTACGAATGAGCTTAGCACAATAGGTATACGATGAGGTTTATAGCGGAGAAGACGAATGTTTAGAAATGAATGACTCATGCAATTATGAATTAATTCATAATCTGTCAAAAAGACATACGTCACATACGAAAATCATACGTCACATACCTGCAGATCATAAAGTACAACCGCCTTTGCGCAATAAACCCATAATTTCTCGACGCTGTTGGATGAAAGAGATTCTGTAGAACTGTTTGAAAATCATACGTTCCGATGTCCGAGCAAAATTGAATTGCACTTGAAAACTAAGCGGTATCAATTCAGACAACAAAGTCATCAGAATGATTGTGGCTACCTATACGAATTCTATATTGAAACTGCTCTGTTGTTCTGCAATGTAATTCATGTCACGAGCGTCGTCCGTCTCAACTAGCACAGTTGTGCTAGTGTTGTGCAGGGAGAGAAAAAAAGTCGGGGACGGGAGAGTCGGGAACATTTTGGGGACGGGGAGAGTCCCCGAAAAGAGCCGCCGCTCGAAAGTGGTCGGGGACGGGGACAGGGATGAGGACTCGGGGACGAGGAGTTTTGGGGAGAAAACTCAATCTCATCCCCGTCCTCGTCCCCGGCTCCCAGATATTCACCGACGATGTAACTTTGGAACTAGAGTCAGTATGACCTTGAAAACATGATTTTTTGATGGAAGAGCATTGAAATAAGTGACATTTAGGCTAGAAAAGCGATAATTGCGAAGGCACAATGCAATTCTATTTGCAGTATTTTATTCAATTACATGAGAAAATAGAGTATAATATCAAAATATCTTTGACAAAAAAATAGAATACGCGCTTTAATCCTGTAATTTTATACTACACTCATCTGTGTGGACATATTACATGTCACTAT